ATCGTTTAGAACATAGCCGGTGGAATTGTGCATCAAATCCGACGTGAAAAACAGACAACAATATCAGTTGAAGCGAATCGTGACGGCGCTGATGCCGAGTCTCCTTTTCCGTTGTTTTTCTCTTTTTCTGCTTCATTTAAGAACTCTAGCCCAAGGGAACAGATAGAAACATTGTCTTCGTTTTCGGACTAGTAGGCAGAGTTTCTGTTTGTATCCATTATTGTCGCGAAATATATTATTTTTCCTCGCGCTAACAATGGCCGCTCGCGCGAAAAAAAAAATTTCTGGCGAAGCGATTTGGTGACGCTGTCAGCGTGCACTATCGGGATTTTGGGCACGCTTACGTATATTGAATTTGATTGCGCGGTTCTGCTAGCTATGTTCTAATTAACATTTTTCTGTTCTCCTAAGAAGTAGAGAAAATATTAACAGTTGGTCTGTTTTTTTGCTTTGATCTGTAGCAAAATTTTGTAATATGTCTGATTTTCTGTGTTGATATTACACGTTTTTGATGTTTTCTTCTTTGTTTGTTTGCTTTTTTTGTTTTTTTAGACCTTTAACGCAGCAAGGTCTTCCTTTCTACCCGAAAATGAGAAGCGAAACCTTATTCAACAACTGAAATTAGTCCACGGAATATATTGAACTTTAATGTTGCAAATATGGATAATTATTATGATAGTTGATATTACAATAATATGCTATTTTTCATACATTTTATTAGACATATATTTCAACTTGCAATATTTCAGTGAAATTAGCTATTATATTTTGATTTTCGTGGAACCGCATAGAACATTGCTATTTTCTGGGTGGACAAGGAAAGCCAGTTGTGGTTTGAATTATTGAGAATTTCAAGAACTGAGGGCACAAGGAACCGGGATTCTTCTCTTATTTTCTTTTTCTTCTTTTATTGGGACATGAGAAATTTTTTGTCTTTCGTTTTATCAGGGGCATAACTCACCTATCAAGATTGTTTAGATTGGTTACGATTTAGTCTAATTTGGAAATCCATTTCCTTGGGCGTACAATGGTTGAAAATGTTATTAGCAGGAAATTTGTGTATACTTTTTATATTAAGAAAGGGTTAGGGTGGGTGAGGTAATGTATAATTAAAAATTCAGAGGACTGAGAGATTTCTGAAATGCTCACAAACCTTAGATAAAATTTTAACCTCGCAAATGCATTATGAGCCTAAACTAAAGAAAACTCAAAGAAAAAAAAAGAAATTGTTTTTGTTGTGGTCGGTTGTAAAATTTGTCGGTTTTAAAATTTTTAAAATCATTATTTATATTATTATTATCAACATTATTATTATAAGTGTAGTATTTGAGCACATTTGAAAAGAACTTGGTCTCTAAAATTATCTCTTCTTAAGAACCGGCCAAACACACGCAACATTTCAACGCAACATCTTGCAACATTGCTGCGCGTAACGTGTTGCACACGTTTGGCCACCCTGTAGCAACATGTTTCAGGATGTTGTATGGTGTTGGATTAAGTTTAAAAATGGTCAAATTTTTGTTGCAACATATTTGGATGTTGCACGCGTTTGGCGAGCTACTTCACAACATCTCACAATACAATCCCACAATTTTGTAAGGTGTTGCTTAACGTGCGTTTGACCGGGCTTGTATGCAAGAAATATTTGCCTCTTTGATGCCAACATCGTGTTTGTTAAGTCTAATTTATCTTTTAAATTAATTTTTTTTTAATTTTTTTTCGCTGAAACTAGGAATACAGTGGTTATGATTTATAATCTTGAGCGAAATATAGTTACATCAGGTAATTTTTATGATTCAAAATTAGATAACTTTTTCTTTGAAGAGTATTGAATTAAGTGAATGAAATAAATGGAAACAAAAATGTAGGGTTATTTCATCATTCTTCAAATCATTCAGCTACTCCAATATTTCAGTTCAAATCCTTACCATGAATCAGGCTAGGTGTGTAGCTAGTTACACGAGTCACCAGCGCTACCAAGGATGGATAATTAAATCAAAATAACATTCATGTTGATGACTGGTTCGAATCTCAGTATGCAGTTAAAGGGGACCCGAGATGGTTTCGTTAATTTTAGTGGATCGTAGATTTAGAATTTCTGCCTGTTTCCTTGCAGAAAAAAAAAATGCTCGATTAGTTATGTTCCAAAGAGAGTGATTTAGCTTACTGAATTAATAATTGCATGAAAAAATTACGCGCGTCTGATTTGCTTGAAATGAGTGCATATTTCGTGCAACACGAGTGCAAAGTACAACTGGTGCATGCGCTCTCAAGATTTCGTCAGTATTGGCTTTCTGTGATGCCTTTTCCATGTAACTTTAAAACAAGTAACATCATACATGATTTTTCGTGCAATTTGTTGGTTTTCAAATCAGTACTCCATTTGGGTATAGAAAGTAGTGTTCAATCAAACTGTTAGACAAATGATCATCTAAGACCTCACTTTAATATGATTACAGAGCCCACGCTATGTTAGACTCCTTACGTCTAGGTATTTACAGTACGCAATGCATAAACGAATGAGACAGCGTAAAAATATTCCATTACAACTCATCTTACCATGTTTAGATGTATTTATTATTGTATAAAATGATTTTCTTTAACTCAACATCCCGAAACCGATTGAATTAAAAAACAAAAGAATTCCTCGGTATGGGAGTGGAAACAAAATCGCTAATCAAGAGGATTAATTCAAGTGAAGGTTCGAGTCACAAAAATTAAGCGCCTTCCCAAATGTCTGGTAATTTTCAACAATTTATAAAATTTTGTTCACGTTTCTGTGATTTTCGTGGTTTGCTGCCGTTTGAAATAAATTTTGGATTTTTTTCTTCAGATAGGTAAAATTATTGTACAGAAGAGAAAATAATCGCCTTTCAACAACTGTATATTATTTAGTTCTTATTAACCGAGCGGGAGGTCTGTATGGGAGAATCTTGACCGAGGTCGCCAGTACAGACCGAACGCAGCGAGGTCTGTACCAGCGACCGAGGTCAAGATTCTCCCATACAGACCGACCTAGCTCGGTTAATAAGATGTTTATTGAATGGTTGTCTCGACTTATCTGCCAATTTTTTATGTTCTTTGTACCTTTTTTTCCTAGAACGGTCTAGATGCCGGTCTAGATTGGAAAATCTGGACCGCTTTCAATATTGATTTCAGCCAATCAAATTCGATTCGTGAATTCAGTAGTTCCCAGTCCTTGTGAGACACAGCCATATAATAAAGTGGATTAATACTGACACATTCCCTTCCAAAATAGAATAAGGACTACAACGCGTGATGATCAACTAAAATCTTTTATCCAAAAACGTAAATCAACTAGTCACATCTTGAGTCCTTAAAAATATGATTCCTCCTCGATAATTCTTTCCTTTAACTGCATAACATGGAGAGAAACTGTCTTAAAAAAAGATGATCTTTTCTTTCCTTCGGGAAAACTGTGTAAGAAGCCACGTTTTTACTCTGAAGAACACGAGTTGCATCTACTTCGCTACTAACTGTATAATCAAAACAAATAATTTCACTGTACAGTTTCCTGTGGTTCATGATCATTTTTTGGTTCATTATGGTCCACTGGCTGGTTAAAGCCTTGTGGCTCATTGTTCTCAGTTGTAACAATCTCCTCTTGTGCCTCGCTATTTTCAGTTGTAGTAATCTCTTCTTGTGGCTCGTAAGTGTCTTTTGGCTGAAGTTGTTCTTGTGGTTCTATACTTTCATTTGTGTCATTTGGCTCAATTTGTTCACTTGCTTCTGGTTGATCCTGAAAGTAAAAATAAAAATATCCCAAAGTGAGTTCCTCCAACTATTAAATATTCCTCTAAAGTAATTGTCACCTTTACCTAAACTGACTCTAAAAAGGATACCTCACAACTGATTACCACCAGGAGTTTTATCAATTATTCTGCCGCGTTTAAAACACAACAATATTCATGAGTACGGAGAGAACAATGCAACGGAGTCTGCATTTCCAATTAAGATTTTGGGCCCAATTTAGCAGTCAGCTACCCTGATTGATAAAATTAGTGACTCTTTTTCCAAAGTAATTTCGAGCCGTAAGGGAGGAAAAGAGAGCATCGAGCTACGATGGAACTGATAGCCACTTGCCACTGAGAAGGCCTTGTTCTGGTTTAGCCTTCGCTCCGACGAAGGGCTAACGCTCGAAACGTCAGCTTTTACAATCGTAACGGTGGCCAATTTACCATTTCAACTTTGTTGATATATCCAAACTATTTCGTTACTCCCACCGACGCAGCCCCAAACAGTTTCTTTAGAAACTATCAGCTTTTATTCAAAAACGAGCTTTGACGTAGAAATACAAAATCGTTTCATTTCCGGGGATTTAACATAACCGTTGCATCATGAGTTTTCAGCGAATAAAAAATATCTCTTCTGCCCTCAATTAACCTTGACAGTCACATTGTAGTGCTGAGAGAAGCTCTACTCAGTTTTAGTTCTTCTGTTCGTGGTGTCTCTATACTCCATGACAACATGCTCCATAGCAACATGGCCAATCAAGCTTAATAACAATCTAGTCTAGTCATTTCTGACGCACCTTTTCTCTGACGCCTTAACCTCTGTAACGAAGACTGTGACTTGACAAATGTACCTTCCTTTTGAGCTACCTGATACATTTAACTTTTTCTGTTAAAACTGTCTAAGATAATACACTAAGATACAATGAATATATGATACCATAAGTTCTCTTAACTGAATGGACTACACTAAATCTCACTCAGCTTAGCTTTCCCTGCTGGTTTCCACTGCTCTCCTTGTCGCAAGTACTACTTTCTCAGCGGCGTTCTCAATATGTCGCTGTCGTTGTTTTACGTCTCAATTCGATTTGTTTTTAGATCGTTTGCCTTTTTTTTTTTGTTTGTTTGTTTGTTTTTTTCACGATTTGAAGACGTGGTGAACACTGAGCAGTACTAAGCCGCTGTCGAATATACCTTTCAAACCATCATGGTTACAACATTACACTATTATTTGCCGAGCTGGTGTGAACCCTTGAACTCCCAGAAGTGATTGACATGTAACTTCTCCCTATCATATCTATACACTATCCAGCTAGCAGGTAATGACGATACTTCAAATCATCATGTAGAAGTTATCTTGATGTTACAACAAATTCTCGTGACTAGTTTACAAGGAAAAGTGTGGCAGCTAGAGGGAAGAATTAACAAGCAGATCTTAAGAGTCCAAGGGTTAAATAACCAAAGTGGATGATACGTGAAGATTACGAACCCTAAACCGCATCTGAGTGCATATTGCGGAGATTTCTCATCATTAGCATTTATAAAACGACAATACCTCTGTGTGTGTAGGTTCCAAAAGCGCTGCTAAATACGACAACTCCTTTCATTTACTTTTTACTTCTAATTGTACCAGTGTTGAAAAGTAATTGACAACAAAATTGCATGTTCCAGTCACTTACTCTTTCATTGTCATAATCTTTCGTTTGAACATTTTCCTCCACCTCGTCCCTTTCTTCTTCATTGTGTACCTCGTCTGTAGAAGTATCTGGGTTGGGATGGTTTTCATCTTCGATTTCTTCATCAGCAACCTCTTCAGCTGGCATTTGATCGATGGGCTTGTCTTCTATTGTTTCTTCAAAAAGAAATAAAACATTTTCAGTATTACTTTAATACAATACAATGTAACAGAAAGGTAATGCTGTGAACGTTATAGTATACCACATTAACCCTGGACGTTCTACTCAGGCGAAATTATGCGCACGGTATACAGGACAAGACAGGGGGCATACACAAAGGACTACTTGACGTTGGATGTACCTCAGGACAAGTAACGTTTACATGAAACTAATATTCACACAGTATGTGACATTAATAACCAGTTATAGTAGATAGTAAACTAATATTCAAACAGTATGTGACATTAATAACCAGTTATAGTAGATAGTAAACTAATATTCACACAGTATGTGACATTAATAACCAGTTATAGTAGATAGTAAACTAATATTCAGACAGTATGTGACATTAATAACCAGTTATAGTAGATAGTAAACTAATATTCAAACAGTATGTGACATTAATAACCAGTTATAGTAGATAGTAAACAGGGCGTCACCTCTCTCATCTTGGATTTCTCTGGCATCCTCTTTATTCTCGCCACTGGCTTCATACACTGACGGCTTCCCTGCAAAGAGTAAAGGTGTCAATGTCAAACAAGTGAATATTTATAGGAATGAGTTATTACGAGGCAGCTACCAGCACCAAGCTGTTCAACCAATGGTGACGTAGTGTAGCTGAATTCGTCACTTGCTTAGGCTTGTCAGAGTTTAGTTCACCTTCAATGCCCTTTTGGCCTTCGAACCTTCAATAGTACATGTACCTTTGCAAGATGGCTCATATCTTTTTATTTACTCATATGGACAGTATTTACTATTTTTTTGTGTGCAGGCAGAGCAAGTAGTCTGTTTAACTAATATTGATTTGTATGATCTAAGATGTTTATAATTGATGAGGCTCTAAAGTTATAACTCTTTAGTTCAAGAGGGGGGCATGGCTTTCCAAATTTGAAGTACACAACGGGCTATAATCAGAGACCAGTTGGGTATTCACACAGCCAGGGGTTTCATTAAGGGCCAGGCACCGGGCAAATTGACCAGTTGTGAGGACGGTTTTGGCCACCTGATTTGACCATCTGGAGGAAAGTCTATCTTATATAGAAGTTCAGTTCAAAGAGTTTTTCCCGCCGGTGAAAACCAGTTGCCCTCCTGCAGAAAACATTAATGAAACCCCTGCACAGCACAGCCAAGGAGTTGAACTTGGGATGACTGAGAACAAATTCATGAGTTGCTGGTAGAGGACTTGAACCAGGGATCACCAGATTACAAGATCAGCACCCAGCTAACCACTCGGTTTCATGGCCTCCTCACAGGAAGGCTTATCAGAGTGTTCACATCACCTGCCTCAACACATTTGAGTCATTTTTAGCACCCCTGAGAACTGTTTTAAGCCATAACAAAATGCTAGAACAAACACAAATCACAAGGAACAAGAAACAGCTTCACCAAGGAAAAGATTACTACAGATTGAAAATTACATCTAGCACATCAAAAAAGACCCACTGAGTTTTTATACATACCATTAGCTGAACTATCTTTTCTGTCATACACAAAATTATCAACTGGAACACCGTTGTCTCCGAGAACATCAGCAACCTGATTCTGTAAAGCTTCCTCTAGGGGTATATCCTCAACCTCTGATTCATGGGGAGAGTCATTTCTTTCCATCTCATGGCGTCTCACTGGCTCATCATCTCTAAGAGACTCAGCTAGTGTGTCTTTAAAAGAATCAAAGGGTGAAAATGGCTCTGGTTCATTCCTTGCTGTCATGTATGGGGGCACACTGTTCACCTGCTGAAAAAAGTTAAATAAAATCATGGTTAAGTGATGGTGCATGTACACTGTCATTATCCAGTTCTGGCTAAACTATACAGATGTTTAGCCTTGCAAAAGATTGAAGGTGGAGTGTCAATATCTCTGTCAGATCTCCACTACAGGAGGTACAGCTGTGCAGCCTCTAAATTATAGGCAGTGGGACAAAATTTTTATTCATTTGTTACATGTACAAATTACTGCAAGTAAGAATATATAAAACATTATCAAAGACTGATAGTAATTTAGATAATATTATGGATGGGCAAAGGCCTAGTTGAAAAAAAGTAATTGTGCCTTGTTTTCAAGAAGTATGACATTTGACATACAACTGTATCTTGTCTTTTTTTTTTATTGACTCCACAAACTGGTGCTTCACTTCTTGGTCTAACTACCCAGTACATACTGCACTTGTAAATAGTGCTTTTTTAGAGCATACTTAGTCTAAAAAAAGTGGATAATGTTTAAGATCCCTCTGATTAGCTTATCAAAGTCCAAATATCCTTGCATGGCTATTCGCCTCCAAGCAACTTGCATTGGATTTGCACTGAAGATATTCTAATTGTTGCAGAACATGAAGAGCTAACAATACACTTTTGTGCCATATCAGCTCACTGGGTACACTAAACAAATATTTAGCTCAGTGATGGTGGCTAACTAACAACTATTCACCAAAGTGGAGGTGGTTAGTGGTGGATATTTTACTGAGCCACGAAGCAGCCAGGTAAATATCAACCACTAACCACCGACACTGAGGTGAATAGTTGTTACACCACCGTCGTTAATTTGAGTGATTTCTTCGCTTGTCACGGATGCAAACCGGAACGCCATTATTTCCCGAGTTGTTCGGAAGTAAATAACAAAGGATATTTGGAGTTTTGACTAGCCAATCAGAGCGCACCTTCAACGCTATCCACTGTTTTAGTATATACTACTGGCCAATATTTACCTTGTGACATTGTTTAGCCACAGATTTGTTAGTTTAGAAGTGATTGGGGAGCACTACTTACCTCTGAGCAGTGGATGAGGCAGAAAATCACTCACCAAGAGTTGAATAAAATTTCTAACAATAATTTGGTGTGT